TTGTGTGTGTGTGTGTGTGTGTGTGTGTGTGTGTGTGTGTGTGTGTGTGTGTGTGTGCGTGTGTGTGCGCGCGCGCGCGCGCGCGCGTGTATGACAACATATTTATAAATTCCATAATTAAAATATAAGATTTGGCAAGAGATTATATCCTACAATTATGAAATTATTACTTAATGGATGTTATGTAAGCATTGAGCAGTTAAAACATTATTACTATTATTTAAGTATATTTTTTTAATGAAAAATATAAACCAAGAATGTAACTGTAATTTTTCGGATTAAGGGTTAATACTTTCAATGTGAATTCTCGTTACAAAATTTAATAGAAAACACTAATTTTACAAATTAACAATTCTAACATAAATGTACAATTTCACGAATATAATTAGTTTTTGAAGCGTCTTTTAATAAATTGAAAATCAGATTACGGATTTATAATTCTGTAATTGGAGATCATCAGATTGTTGAATACTTAAATAATTATACATTCTTAGATCTTTAAATTATACTCAACAATCCTATATACATTTTTGTTTTATTTATATACATTAACATAAAGTCAATCTAGCATTGAGCTGAAAAATTCATTTCACAAAACGTCGCACTTTTCTTGTAATATATTATAATATTATACTGAATGTTAGAGAACTAATAAACATTCCCGATTAACATAAACACAAACATTTTTTCGGTTCTCATATAAATAAATCATTATTCTTTGTGTTTTCGACACTTTTTTACTTCATTTCGCATAATTCTTAACACAAATTTAACATACTTATGGTCCATTCTGTATACAATCTACATATACATATACGCGTAATCTACGACGTGGTGTGTGTGTGTGTGTGTGTTTTTAGTGTTGTATGTGGAATTTTATGAACAAAATCTGGATTCTTCCGCTTCTAACAACTTCATTAAAGCTACAGATAACAACAATAAGAGATAAATAATCGTTATAATAGATGTATGTGTACATGAACATCAATAACGAAATTAACGACAAGCGCATTAAAACGATCTGCGAGACGGTATACACATGACATATATATGTATACTTATATACGTATATACACAGGTGTACATACACACAGTATGTGTTTTTTAATACATACATATGTATAAATAAACACATACATTGTATTATATATATATATATACACACATATAACAATAATTCCTAATTCATGAATATTAAGTATTCGCTTAAACAAATCAGCGTGCTCTTTATATATGTACATATGAAAAATCGCGAAATTTCGCAACGCGACTATATGGCCTTCAACGTAGCTTATTGTCGAAGCTCGGTTCGCAATAACGGCGCAATAATAGCTACATTTTACGGATTAATATATATTTTATTTCGTTTCGTATCTCAACGACGGGCAAACTCTAGAACTAATTGTAGATTCGCAAAAATTAAAGAATATTGTCTAATAAATATTGTGTGTAACGTATGAACTATACGAATAATTTTTAGAGCAGAGTATCAGTAGCTCGCAATTAGAATAAGTAATATCACTCTATTTTGAAATGGAAGAAATCAAATAGCCTGTTATTAATAATATAGACGAAAATGAATTGATTCTACTTGAAGGAATAAAAAAGTAAGATTTAAAAAAATATTTTTTCTGCTCTCTCACATACACACACATACAGCACACACGTTCTTTCTTCAAATACATTCTTTATCTAATGTAATTAGAAAAGTGAATGAGCATGAAACAAAACGAATTTCGATAATGCATGATCGAAATTTATTTAAGTTATACTTAATGTCGAATTTAATTTATGAGTCACCCGCCGCCGAGTTGTCTAGATATACATGCAAAATTAAGAGAATGATCATTGCATGCTAAGTGAGAGACGACAAAAAAGAATAATCTCAAGCGGCAGAGAAAACGCCAAAAAGTCTAGTCTTTCTTTTCTCGTCCCGATATATTTATAAGCAATAATATTACTGTGTAGGCAATCACGGATATATCTCTCGATATGCCAAGGTATGTTCTCAGGAGAGCAATATTTTATAAATATAAACATATATATTTTTATTTATCGCGTCTGGAACAAGTATTCAAAGCTATTGAAATATTGCCTACAATACTTTGCAACTACACTGCCGACAATGATCGTTATAACAAGCTATCCATTTTAAAACGTAGCTTTAATTGTCTCATGATATAAGTATACCTATAGACTCACAAGACAATCGTTTTATGAATCTATAAGTCATTACTATTGATTATTTACTACCAACAATATTTGACAGTTATATTATTGAACGCATAATTGCTCTGAAACGCCATCATTATAATGTATTTTTAAGTCATATGTAAATCGATGTTACTTCATCAATTATTGCCAATAATCGGCAGATGCACAGTTGGTAATAATTATCGTAAGCAGTTGTTATTTTGATGCATTGTATTTTGTGAAATTTGTTTAAAAGGACAAAAATATTTAATTTGATTGTGTTCGAATTGTCCGTAAGATAAGCATATAATATTCACTTTATATATTTATTTTATTATTAATTTAGTTTAGGATTTCTCAATTAATTCGTGTATAAATTACCTATTATTATATTGTTTTACTTAACTATTATTTGTCTTGCCCAACTCATTATGTTATGTAATTCTAATACTTTCATTTTTAATAATTTTTTTCTTTTCAGTGGCACAATAGAATAAATATTACAAGTCTAAATCTATGTTTTTCGCGAAAAAATGTCAAATAATTCCTAGAAATTAAATAATGCAAAATATTTCTACACACAATCAAATAGAATATTTTTGTCCTCTTATATAATGTAATCTCACATTGTATATTCTTTACATACGAATTTACTAAAGAGAATGATACGCGGAGACACATTCATGACATATAACACAGTGTTTAGTACGTATATGTAGAAAGAGAGTCACTAAATGGCAGTAGGGAATAAAACAAACTAATACACCGCTGTTTCTTCCCTCTTCAGGCACCGGCGAAGCCATACACTTCTAACACTCTAATCTCGAAGTCACCATTAGCGCAGAGAGGTGGATTGTTAAAGGTCGAACATCGATCCGTTTTACCGAATCTTATATTTTCGTCCATCCAGATTGCCTGACCGTCCCTGAAATGAAGTGATAGAGCCACAAATTGTTTTAATATGTTTCCCTTACAATAAAGAGTTACAATAATACTACATAGTATAGTGCTATACTGAAAAATCTATAATTAAAGTAAATTATTCCGTATAAAATATGTTATTTCGAAAGAGAAACAGAAATCAGAATTTTCTGTTTCTATATTCTTTACCCTTTGTGCAATAGCACCTTTAAATTTATTAGCATAAATTTATGTCAAAACTTACCCGCCACCGATAGTTATCATCTTCGAATCAGCAGCCATAAATAGCTCGGCTGAATGATGTACTCTTGAGTCATTGTGCGATGAATCCATACCAACCCAAGGATACTTGGCTCTCTCAGGATACAAACTGAACAGGAATGTCTCACCAGTACCAAAGTATGCTTGTCTTTGACCTTTATCATCTTTCAAATTACGTTCGCACCATCTAGTAGAACAATAGGCTCCAAATACCTGAAAAACATCGTAAAAATTACCAAATAAAGTTGCAAAATAAAACATAAAAGGTATTAAAAAAACAAGTTGTATTAAAAAAACGAATCAATGTCTTTTATCAGCTTTTCTATCGAGATTATATATTTTATAGTAATTATTTTACATGATTTTGAACGTACAAAAGTTCTTGGCACAAAAAATAATTTACAACAAATGCCATAAATCAGCTTTTAAACCAAAATTTTAAATAACAGTTAATAAGATGCCTAATACTATATATTTTTTTTTTGCCAAAACACGTGTGTGTGTGTGTGTGTGTGTGTAAAATAATATTAAGTATAAATATTGTTTGCTTATGCACTAAAAAGATACTTATTAGTGATTATACTTACCTCGTTATTACAGGTTTTTATCATCAGAAGGGTCGGTTCATGCTGCTCAACTCGCACATAGAACGTCGTCAAAGAACATCCATGTTCTTCAGTCGTGTATAATAAGGTAGGCTGATACATCGTGATCCTCATCGGTAGCCATGACCATAGGGTAAATAACTGGTAAGTAAACAAATCCAAATCATTAATTGGACGTAAAAGATGAGTTTTATAATTGTGCAAACATTAGTTTCTAATGGCTCACTAATAATTTAAAAGGAGCAAACTAAATTACGATAAGACATGCGCTGATAAATTAAATTAAAATGATTATATCAACTATTTTATGGAAAATTACAGTAACTGATATGTTAATAAAGATTACGATTTTTACATCTTCTTGATGATAAGAATTTATCATTTTTAACGCGTTTCTTCACAAGATACAAAAACAAAAAAATAACTGATATATTTTTTTTAAATTAAATATACTTTTTCTGAAAGTCTTATTTTTTCTTGTCTTTCATCATTGTGCTATTCTCTCCTATATTTACTGTATTTTTCCATACAAAGCAAAAGAATATCGAGATTTTTTTGTTGGCAATCCTTTGTGTTTTTTAGATAATATTAATCATGAAAGATGTAATTGTGATATAAATATATGTGTAATCTATAATTGAATATTTCTAAAACAGCAATTATATTGCAAGAAGAAAACTGTTTTTACTAGAAGAACGTAATATTTGTAAATCATATTTATTCTAACATATATCATAAAGTATTATTCTTTTATAATTATTTACATTTATATACACACATATACGTATATCTCTATAAAAAAAATATAGAACAAAAAATAGTTAAAACATTTCCTATTTATACCGTAATATCGCAAACATTTTCTTATAAAGAAACATTAATTCTAATAAAATGTGTTTCTATCTCGTTTATGTGAGATATCAACAAAACACGAACAGTACGCTGATATGCTGGCGAAAGTAAACATCCGTATCTTTTGCAAATCAGTGCATAATATCATTCGTCATGCAACAGTCAGGATAGCATCAATCGGTTAGAGATAAAAATACAAATGAATGTTATCGAGACGTCAACATGGGTTCTTGTGCTAGCGATGAGATGTATTCTTTTCAACTGCACGTTCAGTACAAACTTTCTAATTTTTCTCTTTCACTCTTTCTTCCTCCAATACATGGAAACGTTATAACAACAATTAATTTAAAAAATCACATGTGCTTTATTTATTTTCAATTGAATCCATTTCCATTTCGATCGGTACCTCAACTCATAGATTTCGAGATTCCTTAGCGCAAAGTAAACCTTCTTCAATCACTCATCCTATCTCAAAATAATCACAAGAGGATTACATAAACTCTCTCCATACAATTATACAACAAAATATTTCGATCTTTGAAACATTCTGTATATATACAAGGTTTAGCAATTTGAAATTTAACGATTTTTTTCGAGCTTATTGTAGAGAAATGAAGATTTAAAGAAGTAAAATAATACAGTAATAAAATGAAATAATAAAAAGAGGAATAATCTTTCAGAATTATTATAATATAATAATAATATTTAATTACTATTATAATATAATTATAATATAGTAATAATATTTTCGTATTTTATTTATTTATGAGTTTAATTTATATTAAGTTCTAAAAATAACGTCCTGTAAATCAACATTTCTACATATTAATTACTCTCATTGTTCGCAGTCTTTTTCGCAGTTCTTGAATTTGTTGCCATATTATTTTTCAGTGGAAGAATATTTTAAGATTTTGCTTTAAACACTTTTACTAATAAAAAGATAATCTCGCTCACGACATCAAATTCAAGAATCAAAGTTTATATAATTTTTGAATAAAACAATGAAAACATTTCAATAAGAGACTCCTTGTTAAAAATGTAAAGGTGCTCATTTACAAGATGCTACTTTTAGAACATTATAAATAAAAGGTATAAAGATTCTCTTATATTTTATTTATTACTTTAGATCTTGCCTTTATGACAAGCCCGAAAAAATCGTCAGATTTTAGATTGCCGAGCTTTGCATACATTTTTATGCGATTGCATATACACCAACGACGACAATATAGACATTCCACAGAATAAAGACCTACGACTACTTGACGGCTTTTGAATCTTAACTCAATCGATGAAAGGACGGCCGTGAGTACTTACATCAGGCATGTCTAGGATCTGGGAGCATATACTTTGTATGGGATAAACGCCCATTGATAAGGCGCGTGGTCCAGGACTGTGTGCGCCCTACACACCCGGTACCATTTAATCCGTCATTCCAGTGAAGGCAGCACAACACAAGACAGCACAAACACGTCAGTTACATCGATGTACAGTGAAGAGTACTAATGGTACCAATGCGAACTTTGCATGTACCCACTGCACAAATGTTCCACGGAGATATTGGATACTTTTTTGTAACGTAAAGTTATACCAAAGAATATGGGATGTAAATAACTAAATACTATACATTTATTAGATACGAATAACCGCACAAAATTTCATGAATTTAATATTGATTATTTCGGAGCAGTGTAAAATCCTTTTACTTTCACTACAATCGCATCGTATTATGACATCAGAAGAAAAAAATCGTGTAAATGTTTTTCTTGCACTATACATCGAAATAAATTAGGTTTCTTTGCATGCTATAACTTATATTCAATAAAATTTACATATATGAAATGTGCCGAGGAGACTATTCTTTTGATTCGCGGATTAATAAATAACTGTAAACCTTGATTGAACTGTTATCAATTCCATTCTTGTCTATTCTTGCAGCCGATACAAATTTTTAGGGTATAAAATTTGAGTGCAGAATCTTTCGAAAATGCTAAGAAACTGATGATCGCTTAACACAGCAGAACATTATTAAAACATTAACATATCTCAAAGCCTGTAATGAAAATTCATTCTGCTTCCCTTATTCAACGCTTTTCTATAAACTATTCGTTTATATGTATATTCCTTTTTGAATCATTTTATTTCATTATCTAACGAGAATATTAGCAAATAACGAATACATTCTTTATATGTATTTACAAATGACTCATGAATATAATAATTATTAAATGTATAATTATATATAAAACAGCTGTAAACGATTTAATTTTGATTTTTTAATTTAATATTTGTAATAAATTATCAAATTTATATTAATAGACAAGGAGATATTTAATATAAGTATAATTTTAAATTCCCTACTTTGTCTAATTCAATAGAGCTTATCTTATATTAAAATCTTATATTAAGATCTGTTTATTACATTATTATGCACAACGATGATAATAAACAGCCAGTGTATTTCAAACGTTTAACTATTTAATACATACATTATTATTACATCGTGATCACATATTGTTCCAAATATTCCGAAATGTTACAGGCCTCTTTAAGATGTTAGCAGATAAAATAGACGATGATATTGATTTTCAATACGATAAAAGAGATGCCCTCGATTATATTAAAACAGAGGCAGAACGACCGGATAATTTTTTAACCATGTAGTAAGCTTGAAGACGACTTTAGATTTAAAAGATATAATTTTGAAAAATTACAATTTATTTTACAACTTTTAATGTTATGTATCTTGGAAATTAAGCTTTATATTCTTAATTATATATTTCAGCTTTACGTATTTCTATAGTTTCTATAATCTGAAAGTAAAAGTTGTTTAAAGATCAACTGAAAAATATTATTTTGATATTTGTTTTTTGTTTTTATGTTGTGTACTAATAGAATTACAAATTCTTGTAGTATTGGAAAACATAGAGAAACATATAGAACGCAACTCTTAGATGTCTTCGAAAAATAAATGAAAAAATGTGAATAACGTTGTATCTACGGAAAGCATCTTCTAAAAGTTGGAGTAATAATATGTCTGAATCAATACTATAGAATCACATTCAAGAAAACAGGGTTATAAGTTTATAACAGATAACACTAAAAGGAATGAAACTAATACTAAACGTTTGCCAAGCAAAGCTCGATTAAATTCATGTAATTTAAATTAAGGTCCTGTTATTGATAAACTTTCATAGCTTGGTCCTAAATTTTACCGATTATAATCTATCAAAAATACAATCAATCCGTGAATTTGTAAAAAAATTACCATGCTTAAATTACAAATTGAAACTTCAAAAGAATTAATTCATTTTTTTTTAAGACTTCTCTCCCTTAGTATAGCCATATTAAGTTATAACGTTAAAAAATAAAAAAAATTTTTCTTACATATATTGAAACATATTAATCTTTTTCGCATATAGTTATGTTCGATTAAATAGAAAAATGGAACAAAGAATAGATAATCTTTAATCTATTATATAATATATACATATATATGTATACACAGAGCACATTCTTTCTACAATTGTAGGACGAATATGAATATTTGATCCTCTCTCATTTATTAATAAGGCATAATTAAATAGAGTTCCATTGGTATAGTTTAATAATTTATGCTATCGAACACGGAAGCGAAAAAATTGACTTATTTCGATGTATAATAGATTTTCTATAATAAACCATTGCTTAAGTTTTAAGTCTTAAGCTATAAGAAATTCATCAATCATACAGTCAATTCTTCTCACATTCGGCTGTTGATTGAACAATTTTTTATGGCTGAAGCTTAAGTATAGGCTTATTGTAGAAAGCCTATAACATAAGAAAAAGATTTATATGTTTTTGTTTCTGATTCATAATCTAATATGGCTGCAAAAAGAGGAAGTCTTAAGAAGAATTTTAAAAGAAGGAAGAAGAAAGAATAACGCGATAGACGAATAAGACAGTTATATATCTTCTAATTCAATCTTTTGAACAGAAGGAGCTGCGCACAATCAAAGAGATAGGGAACAAAGGGCAAAAACAAGAATGTCAACTTATCAGAAATTGTATATTCCATGTGTATGGTTTCTGATAGGTTGAAATTCTTATTCTCTATTCTCTGTTCCCTATTCCTTTAATTTTTCGCAGCCCCTAAAAGTTACTTATTTATTTGTTTGAATACTGATCTTGTGAGAAATTATAAATCATTCACGATTGCAACCCGCATTGATACACGCGGAGCCACACTGAAAAAGCCAGCGAGAATTTTACATTATGCGTTGCAGTAGACATTGCTGACGAGAGTATTGGTTACTGCCGCGTTGATAGTGGAAGATATATTAAAGGAGTCGCTGCGGATGGATAAATAACAGCAACAAAGCTGGCACGACAAATGTATGGCGATGAGTGAGTACGTGTAGAGTATGAGTGTAATATAAATGATATCTCAGAGTATAAAGGGGAGAAATAAAGGTAAAGGTGGGCAGAGCACATGAAATTGACAACACATTTCCCAAAAAGATAATTATACGATACCCTGTCTTTGTACGTGTCTTCACATTCTTTCTGAAAACAAATGGAATCATTGAGAGATTCGAAGGTTTACCGAACCCTATAAGAGACTACTTTAACACGCTGGGCTGTACAAAGCGGAGATTGAAACCAGTACAGGATATTCAGTAAATTGTAATACAACCAACTTAAAAAAGCCATTTCTCGTAAAGAAGAAATGTTTGAAAGAATACAATAATTTTTTTAGATTGCGTAGTTTTCAAGAGAGACTGCTTTGAATGTAAAAATGTATCTATTCGATTATACATTGGTACTAATATGTCGAATATCTTATAACAATTAATTACAATTGAAGTAGTATTGAATTTTCAATGCCAGAAGCATATTATTATACTCGTACTAATTGTTGTATTTCATCATTTCTTCGAGAAATTATTACTATTTATAGTTAATAAACTATCAGTACTTTTTTTCGGAAACTACGCAATCAAAAACTAAAATTTGATAAAAAATATTTATCGAATATCTTTTAATCGGTTTTTTTTCACAGGAAATTGTTTTCTTATTGATTATATCACGATTTATTGAGTATTCTGAAATTTCATCGAGTTAAGATTTGGATATCGTAGGCATGCAACAATGATCCTTACGTTTATCCGTGAGTAAATGAAATGCGATAATCGTCATAAGGTTTTTTCTCGCATACCTGTAACATCGAAAATCGAACTCAACGAAATTATATCGGTTTCAATTCTCATTATAAAAAGAAATTATACAAGATATCCCCTAGTGTAAGCAACCCCTTTCATTCCTTAAATTGAAGAAGATAGGCCATAACAAATGAAGTTTATATTTAATAGTTTCAATTGTCTCCTTGGTTTTAGGAAATAAAAGGGGATAGTTACATATGCTGAAACAATAAAATGTTGCATACTATGTAAAAACTATAAATACTTCATATCTGTACCTGTAAAAATTCTATCAATTAAAATTACGTTCATGCGTATAAACTCCAGATATACTCATAACAGTGTTCTGCTTTTGGTGAAATCAATATTTTTGCAGAAAATAATTTGATGTTTGATTTGAACTTATTACTTAATTTCAATCTATTCCATTAAAACTTGTGAAATAAATACATTAATAATCTCACACAATTTTTTAATGATTAGATTTTTATACAATACTCTATCTTAAATTAAGTGAAAATGCAGTCCTACTAATTTAACTACTAGTTAGTTCGCATATAGATATACGAAGTAATCCGTCGTTGCGCGTATATTTGGCGCGAGGCACTACTGTGTCTTTCGATTCCATGTTTAAAAATTAATTGATCGAGAAAAAGTTTTCAACTTTTAATATTATAAACAATTTAATAATTAAATTTTAAATAAAATTCTGAAAAAATTTAAAGACATTTAAAAAATAAAATTGATACTTTCTTTTTCTTTCTTTAATAATCTTCAATGTTTAGAAATTAGAAAAAATATTCGTTAAAAGATTCAAAATTCCAACAATGAACTCCCGTGCAATTTTTAAATGCAGCCAATATAATTGAAGTTATATAAATAATATAAAAATTTTATGCACGATATATGCATTACGTTCACAAAGACATGCTGAAAACTATTGAAAAAATTATCAATTAATATTATTCTTCTATTAGCAATCAAATGTATTTATGTCATTATTATCCTGCTTATCAAATTATAATTTTAACTTTTAATTTATGAATTTTATTTGTTAAATCATAAAATGTCCAAGATCCTTAACAATCGGCAAATTTTTATTAATAAATTAAAATAAATATAGAATTGAGTTAAGAAAAAGGAAGAAATAGATAAATAACGTACTTCTCGTATTGTGAGTGTGTGTGACATCATCTGAATGTTGACTTGGGACTGACTGGTGGGTAGATTGTCTGTCGAACGTGACCTGGCCAAGGATCGGGACCCTGTCAGGACGCTCTTGCTCTTAAGAGCCATTTCTGTGCGCAGAAATACTCGCGATATGTATGCTGAGCTGAGTCCGCGTATCCCAAAAGCGGTGCGCAAAAATTTAGCAGGTGTCACCTGTGAAAATTGATGAATTATTATTTTCAGCAGCGTTTCTCACAATTAAATCCTTGTAAGATAAAATATCTAAGCTTCTAAGTACAATATTATTATTATTGTACATATGTATGTATTTAGATATGCATATTTAAATCATTATTTTAGTTCGTATTTGAAATTTTTATCAAAGATGTATAAATCACACTCAAAACAATATCAAAAATATAAAAATTTCATAGATTGTTTTATTATTACATCTGAATATCTGAGTAAAATTTGAGCACAATTCTTTTATTATTTTAAAAGTTATTTGATTTTTCGTTAGTCTTAATTCTTATGTAAAATAGCGTTATTGTATATAAATTTGCAATACTTATTTAATGAGGAAGTAACATTAAGAATTAAATCAAATTTTAAACACATACTGATCAAACAATAATAAATATTCGTGCAAAAGTTCATTTACTCCACTGGTTCGTTCAAAAGTTATTGACCTAAAACTACAGAAAAATATGGTTATTTTGTTGCATAAAACTATTATAAGTCAAATTATTCGTTTTGTTTTTTTGCAATTGGTTTTTTAGGACATATTCACGGGTAATTATCCAAATTGTTTGAATGATATTGGCTGATATCAGATTATTTTGTCCGATTGATACTTTTAGTTGATATAGTATAATCAAAACATCCTTAAATACAAATATAATATTTACTCTTTCTCTTGCTATCTAATATTATATATTAGTTTCTTTGTGCTTTTCAAAATTTATTTTTTATATTACAATTATTCCGTTTATAAAACACAATTTATTTTAGATTTTGTTACTCACTGGCATTTGTCTGCAGAACTTTGATAGAGCGGCATCTATCCCATTCTTTGAAATCTCATTCATCCATTCGGAATTCTGCGGCGAAGAATGCTTATAAAATAATAAAACTATAGCCATAGCTACCCGATAAAAGACCTGAAAGCAAAACAATTGATGATAATTTAATTACATTAATTATTAAAACAGTACTTTATAACAAATCGCGTATATCCAAAAAGAATAATTTTATGCTCAAAAATGCTTGCAAAACAACTTTACGCTGGCACTGAGTCAAATGTCAAATTTAACATTTGTCTTATTCCTAGAATATAAGTGCATTGCTCAGTACATAACACGCGGTTGATCTTTATCTGTCGGTTGGGTAAACGCCAATTTTTCTCGCTCTCATATGTGCAGTAGATGGACGATTTCACGTGCTGTTCTTCAACTGGTTCCTTGAATGCATAACAAGAAATAAAGTTCGGAATTTTCCGGTTGGCGGACGGTTCAAACCAGTTTGGACTCGGAATTCACGATAATCGAATGATTCTAACAATTCTTCAAACTTTCTTCTCGAAGTTTAAATTGATCGAATCTTTATACTTCGCGTAACTGTCTATCATAAAATAAAGAATACAAAAATATACATTTGTTTCACTTTCTAATTTGTAATTTAACGTGTACTAAGGAAATCAGTATCCTCCTCCTTATGTCTTTAATCGTTTTTCTTTGCAATGAATATTATATTTTCATACGACTTTTTAATATCTAAATGATTTAAATAACTATTTAACCTTTTAAATATGATACATTGTTCGAATGATTTGATCAATTGCGTGCCAACTATACGAATTGTTTAAATTTGAAGCTTGAGCTTTAATTATGGCAAACACAATGTACATTTCGTGAGTTAAATATATAATAATTTATATAAATTATTCATAAAGTTAGCGATCAAATCTAAAGTATATAAACTCACCTTAATGCCTTCATGAAGAAAACAGTCCATAACCCTGACTAGATGTTGAAATGGAAGAAGTTGAAGAATCCACCAGATCCAGTCCATGTAGATTCTTTCTGCTCTTGAACCGGAGCAATGCCTCGCTAAATGTACAGCAGCTGATTTCTTAAAATTGTGAAATCAAAAAATATACATTACATATATTGTATTTTATACACATACACGCGTGCGCGCACACACACGCGCACACACATGTCGCTAGAAATCTATTACTGCTAGTAATTTTTTGATAGCAAATAATTTTATATCTTAGATTCATATCTCTTTTATATAATTTCAGTGAATATATATCGATTTGGAGTAATATCGATCGAAAGAGAGCTAGATACATAGATAAAGAAGTTTATTCTACCATGAGATAAGGTATTGAGGCAATGAAAAATATAAGATATATCGCGTAAAAATATTATAAGCCATTTTTTCCGAAAATAACAAAGATAATAACAAACATTTTTTTCTTCGCTTTTAAAGTTTATTCTAAGATTATTTTTATTTGATAAATAGAGTACCACCCCCCCCCCCCCTCTCTCTCTCTCTCTCTCTCTCTCTCTCTCTCTCTCTCTCTCTCTCTCTAGATATATGAATTAAGATTTTTTTAATCAATATAAATTTTTTTTCATTGATTAAATCATTTAAATGTAACTTTTAATTAATAACAATTATTGTTAGGTTATATAAATAGAGATTGAAACCAGTTTCAAAATTCACAACCAATTATAATTATTTGTATTTTAAAATCTGATTAGTCTTAATAAGATACGTCTTAGGCATATCCTCTTAGGCATATCGAATAATAAACTCATAAACAGATAATATTTATTTTTATCATTTTATCTTATTTTGTTTCATATTTAACATGAATATTTAAGATGGTTTAGAGATAATAGAAGCAAATTATTCAATTTGGGAAATTACATTTAGTTATATTAGACGAAACATGTAGGACCTATTATCATTGGTTTTTTTTATGTTTAATTAAATTTATTACATCAGTTTTTTAAAAGAATTTCTGCGTTTGACTCCTATATGCTCATTTTATCCTTTATTTATTTGAATTATCACTTATCAAACGTCCGTTATTAATCTTATATGTTTAATTATCTGAAATCTAAAATTTAGGAATTATTGTTACTTACAACATGTTTCTTAGTGATTTGTTCTACCGTTTTCCACGTAACTTCATAAAGAAGTTTGGTTTGCGTGATGAATATTTTCTCTTTGGCAGCTACCAAAGTAGCCATACAGTGGTAACATTCCTCCTCTGAAAAATAACATTCCCAAAATAACATAAGTAGCGGTTTATCGCAAGTATACAATATCTTTACTATAAATTTGCTTATTTTGAACCTTAATTCTTATTGAATTAGAAGATATAAGAAAATCATAATCTACAAATAATTATCCAGTAGAAATAATATTATAAATTATTTTTATTGTTGAATATTATTTATAAACTATTCATAAGGAACTAATATTAATAATTAACATCTTTATCTATCATTATACTAAATAAATTGAAAATATAGAATAACATTTTTCCACATTCAATCGTCCACTTTTTCTAGAAAAAATGAGTATTGAAAAATTAAGTTGAATGTAGAATTGTAGACTATTTTATACTTTTTTCTATTATCAAGTATTAAAAAGTATAAATAACCATGGATATTTTCTAATTGCAATATCTCTAAACCAGGTTTCGTGCATACGACGACACAAACGTTCTAAAGCTTTGTATCCACGATACTAGAACTTAGTCCGAGTTCTCGGATCGAGAAATGTATAGCTAATCAACTTTTTTTACTTTTTACCGATTTTCCGTAAAAACTGTAACCTGATTGGCTACACATTTCATGGTCCGAGAACTCGGATCGAGTTCTAGCATCGTGGACACAAGGCTTAAGGATGCTATTTCATTCGTGCGTTTTTGTCGTACGACAAATGTGTACAGGACAGAGAGATTCTCGGATTTCTCTATTCTATAGCCAATCAACAAACTTAGAAAATTGTCGTACAATAAAAACGCACAAATGAAATAGCGGCCTAATGCTGTAATCATCGACACAACATTACACATCCATACTCAGCCCGAGAATTACTAGTCAGATGTGTAAGCTTGTATTTTCTAGTAATAATTAAATAATTACTAACCGCGGCTATAAACAAAAGAAAAAAACGCAGAAGAGATAGAAATACAGTTCCATCACCATCACGAATTAAAAAATACTAAAGCATGGACATGGTATTGAAAAATAAACCTAATTCTATCCAAAATCACGGTACAATGTACATCAATACATATTTTGTTCTAACTGAATCGTGCATTTCTGTGTACATTTGTATCAAAAGATATGCTAAGTAATTGGAAAGCTCTGTTTATATTTTATTTAAGTAAAAATATGACCAATTTGAAGTTATGTTTTGCATTTTGAACATAAATCTGTAATATTTTATTTAAATAAAGTGAAAAATAATTCCTGTAATTCTTCATGTGTCAAATTATTATTGCATTAAGCTATTGTTGATTTAATACTGATTTAATGTTATTTACCTGGCACAAAATGCAAGAGAAGTGCAGTTAACGGATAAAGGGATGGGCTGTATGTAATGTCAGGACAAGCATATCCTAATACAGATACGATTCTGTCCGCCACGTTTCTGCCCTTCCTTGTCAAATTGTAAGACAAGCAATGCGTACTATCGACAAACGGCGGTAGCATGATTGATTTTTCTGGTAATTCTGCAAACAAAATATTTCAAAGGTTATATTACATTAGGCCTGTTTTTGTGACTAAATTTGAAAGTGAGAAAGGAAATTTTAGTGCAATCCAGCGCAGTGACAAAAAAACATTATTCTCGAAAAATATCACGTACGAAAATATTATAGTATACGTTATGTATATTATAGATTTGCGTTTGTAATATAGATTTAGGAATATAGATCCATTGATTACGTCTTCTGCACTTTTCAGTAATTACATATTCGGATTCAGTGCTTCCATAAGTGTGTTTCTAAGTTGAAAACATTATAAATGTACAGTTATTGATATATATATATATATAATCTTGTAATCGCGCCGCTCTATTCTGTCTATGATCCTTTTGTAATCAATACAAACAAACTTATAATAAAAACACAAGTCGAAGATTCGCGTAATGTATTAAACGTATTTATTAACCTGTCGTTCCAAAAACCTGGTTAACCATGTCCCAGTAGAATCCGTCGAGCATGTTCTTGCCGTGCGCGTGCTGATCGCAGAGTGCCGGCCAGAGCTGCGTCCTAATGCCGTTGTTAAGCGGCCAGGCGTTCTCTCGTATGATCAATTTCGCCTCCCGCTTCCTGCTGGCCTGCAGCAACGTGTTCACCTCTGCAAAAGTTTTCAGTGTCTGTTTCTTGCTGGTGGGTGATTCCGGATGGATAACAATGTTGCTGGTGTCGACATGCGGTGGGAACGCGTCGTCGATGTCGGTGACGTTCGTCGCCTCCTCCTCGACCACCGATAGCGTGTTCGGCGAATTGTCCATCGGGGAGGCAGTCACTAACATCGCTTAACAACTACGGCACGAGATTCTTCATGGCGGCCGCTCTGGCGATTTTTCACGCACCTGCCACTGCCTACGTCATGTCTTGGGAAGTTTCAATTTTCATCTAAAACAAAAAAGATTGAAACGTATAAGTGGACGAGTTCGAAGACTTTTGAAGTAGATAGATAAATATTGTAGGATATTTTGGAGTATTACTGGTAAATTTATTTTACAATTAATGAAATAAAAGCAATTTGATATCTTGTTGAAAAAATGTAAAAATATAGATTTTATTTATATATAGTATTATATTTTATATATATAACATACAATCAAACTTTTTTTTTACACTTTTTATTTTATACTTATATATCTATACTATTCTATTTATATGGTAATATACAATCAAACTTTTATACTCTTTTCTTTATATTTTTTATTTTCTATTATTTCTGCTCCTGTTACACACACACATTTTTCCACTACTCCAAATTAATAATTTGGACTTCATATTCATGTAGATAATATATGTACAAGTATCATTATTTGCATAATCAATTTAAGAGGGTTTTCTTATCGATTGGCATAATACAAAGGCAATTTTTATTTAAAATATCTTTTAAAATTTTTTTAAATAAGATAGAATGCTATAGAACATTTAAGTTTAATACATATTTTTGTTTATATCTTGAACTACAAAAAATGTATTAGTAACATATGTAACTTCTGTTTAGTAAGATATATATACAAATACACATAGATATTTATTTTTCTAAGATTATAAATATAAAGATATTTTGCATTTTTCAAATATATTGTTACGATAATTTGCGAACATACTGAAATATCGAAATAAATCTCACAAAGCTCATTTTGTTCTTATAACAACTTGCTGCATCTGTTAAATCAACAAAATTTTAAAAAACAATATGTTGTTAACAATATGCTACGCTCATATTATAAATATAATTATTTTTCTACATATTACTGGGTAGGCACAAGTATTTGATCATGTTCAATATAAAATGAATGTTTAAAAATTATTTTTATCTCACCGTTATAATACCAATAATTTTAAAAGGGAAATTGGAAACGTTACAAAGAAAAAAAATGTGTGTGTGTGTGTGTGTGTGTGTGTGTGTGTTACTAAAAATGATTTTTTTGTATATAGAAGTTCAAGATATAAATAAAAATTGTATCAAACTTCTTCTATTGCAATCGATTTTATTTAAAAAAAAAAAAAAATTCTTCAGTCTTTATAATAAGATTAAAAAAAATTCTTAAGAGCCTTTATATTGTCAATCGATGAAAAAACTCTCTTAATTAACTCTTGGTTAAGGCGAAAAAAAATCAATATCGTTATCTCATAAGAGAAATATGCAAAATATTCTATTTCTTTACTTTTTTTTTTTTGTGAAAAAAGTAGAAGAATTAGACTTAAAACATTACTAAATTACTTCACTTCCGTCTCTATATTGCAAGCAATAATAAACAACTAAATTTTCATTTGTTATCTTATTGTAACAGATTGCCCTAATCATGATCCTAATTTTGTTTCATTTTGTATGAAATTCATATGTTTATAGACTATAATTTATAGACGATATGCGTCCCTTAAAGCGACTTTGATTATCTTAATTAACGAGTAACTTGTCAAATAATCCCTATAGCATTTTATTAATACGAACAAAATTATGTATATTAATTTTTTTTCACTTGACACATGAAGAGAAAGATCAAATTGGGGGTAATAAATTATACATATAATTAGAAATTTTATTGTGAGCAAAATTTCATTAATTGAATTAATCGTTGATTAAATTAATCAGAGCTTAATCGAAGTTACTTTTAGGTTCGCGAAAGATATGAATGATTTTATTTTAAAACAATTAGACTTAAAACATTACTAAATTACTTCACTTCCGTCTCTATATTGCAAGCAATAATAAACAACTAAATTTTCATTTGTTATCTTATTGTAACAGATTGCCCTAATCATGATCCTAATTTTGTTTCATTTTGTATGAAATTCATATGTTTATAGACTATAATTTATAGACGATATAGGATTTAACAGGTAGTGTTACGGCTCAACCCTTTTCTCGCTCGCTCTGCGAAACAATTAAATACGGTCGAATAACGCACATGATTGCGGCATCGCTCGAATCTCGTAAACTCGTGCGAGCTCCAAGATAATGTGTTTTAGTGCTTACTATGCACATCTGTCGGTATCGCGTTGTAACAATATCCTTCCCTCCTGACGTCGTCACCGCTCACTCGCCCGCGGGTAATCCATCGTGCGACCGAAATCAATTGTCTCGTTGTAAGGGTGCCAGCGTAAACAAGCGCGACGAACACGCATATATAGCGCACCACGTGCTCCCTTCTTTTTATCTTTCTTTTCCCTCAACGCCACAAGTGGCACACACGGGGTCATGAGTGCCTGACACAAGAATCTGCTTGCCAAGGCATATTTGGGACGCATACTTGCGTTAATTTCATATTATAAAATACAAATAATATTATATTTTAAATAAAAGGTTAATAGAACTCTTAAATATTAGACAAAAAATTTAGATAGATTGGTGAGTTGGACTCGTCAGTCCTTCTATCTAATCATTTTTTTATAACATACTTTATTTATTATTATAAGAAATTATTAAATTATACGGAATAACTATGACGAGTAAATATTTATTTAGACGAAGGCAGGCGCGCCTCAAATACATATCTCGATATTTGTGCAAACTCATATGCTAAGGGTTTTACAGGCAGGTGTGCCCATTACACGTGCCTAGTAATTATGAAAGTGGCCTGATACGAAGAAAAAATATGGAAAAGTTAGATTCATTACTAACTTCGTGTTACATCGATTTATAATACAATATTACATAGACTATTTTTTTTTAAATAGGTGAGAATTGAAAACGTTTAGGCTTAACGGCGTTTTAGATGTTTTAGTAGTTGTCGTTAAACAAATTTCAATTCACGTTTATTTTGACAGCGGTTAAGTCACTTGCTCTCTGGCAAACTTGTGTAGATCCAATTATATTTTTATTATATATGTATATATCTATACAAGTATCCGACTAGCGCTGCGATGAAGGAAAAATATAAAGACATGATGATTTGTTATTGTATATCTCTTCTGCCAATTTCTCATGAATATTTTAAAATTCTACAAATATCATAAATTGAAAATGGCAAAGAAAAAACTAGAATACTGACAAAAATTATAAGTAAACATAATTAGGATAGTCATAAGATATAAATGGGTGTTTGTTTTTAACTAGTTTCTAAATAACATTCGATATCTTTTGTGGTCATAAATAATTTTTAAGATTTATTCTTAATTAAAAAATTGGTCCTTTGAAATATCAAAGAAGTCATATTGCTTTACAATTTTACTGCTCGTAAAATTTTATAATTGCAGAAAAGATTAGGGTAAACAGGTATTATGGCCATACGGAAAAGATGGTCATATATAAATTATATATATAATTTTTCCAATTATTGTTATAGTGCATTTTTATAGTCATTCTCAAAGATAATTAATATTTACAGTAGTTAATGTGTGCGTACACTATTTGAAATAACAATATTACGAATAACAGTATCACAAATAGGTATATTACGAATATATTCATAAATATATTATGAATATATTAGAAAGAAGAAGTTTATTATGAACGCTAATCTTACATCATACATGGCAAATTCCACATTTGCAGATATAACGAATCGCAAATTATTTGCAGTAATAACAAATATTCATTCTTTTTTGTATTCGTTCGCAACAAATGCAAAATATTTATCAAATATACAAATTTGTTTGCTGCTTATAGTAAATAAATTTGACAATTAAATTTTACAATCATTTTTGCGTTCATAAGTCATTTTTCTTCGTACATGTAATTTTATACATATATGTACATTGTACATACGTATGTGTGCGTGCGTGCGTGCGTGCGTGCACAAAACATACTTCAGTAAAGTGCTGTACCAAACACTGTTAAAAAATAACAAAAATAAAAGTAGTTTTTTGCATTTTAAAAAGTTATAGACACCTTACTTCAATTTATCGTATATTGTAGGAGTATTTATGTATTTTGAGAAATATTTTTTTATTACATAATGACAAAATATTCTTTTAATACATATACCAACGCAAAAGCAAAGCAAAAAGAAATATCTCAAAACAACAAGAGTATATGACTTAGGCCATTGTCATAATCGCTCATCGTGACTGTCATAATCGCTCATTGTGACTGTTCATTGAAACATTGAGAACATTTATATTTTAACCAATTAATTTAATATCACGCATGACTTTGTGTGACAATTAATTTTTTGTTTTATATTTATATAAACCTTCTTCGTAAGTTCATACATGTCAAACACGTACACACACACACACACACACACACACACACACACACACACACACACACACACATATAATATATACAGCTGTCAAACCGTCAGAGTAGTTCTGAGTCATGATTCAGGAATATTTATAGCGATTTTGGTGCTACCTGCACTGTTCAACGTTACATGAAGTTGTATAAAAGTGGAATAGAAACATTCTAACGAACGAAAAATTATCAAAGGCGACCAAATTTAATCGGCGATTAATTTGGCAGAATTAATCGATAGAATTGTTCAAAATAAAATTTTTAACTATACAGATCGCTATCTAATTTAATCTTTTTTTCACATATATTAACAGAAACTTGATAGTTCTAAACATTGCATAAATTATTGAACAATTTATTCAATATATTATTTTTTAATAAAGTAATATATATATATATATTAGTTAACCACCGATTACGTTGAATTATATAATTAGAAATTTTGCCATAATTTTATCGGTTGAATTAATCACCAGTTAAGTCAATCAGGATTTAATAAAAGACAACGTTCATTAAAAGAAGATTATATTATTATGTTAATATGCCATGTTATTTGGTTTCAAATAATTTTCGAAGAATTATGAAATAAAATTGCGAAATTTATAATCATTCGTATCGAAAAAAAACACATCGTCTTGCTCGTAAAAAAAACGTCAGGCATTGACCTGCCATCAGACACGCGAACGGTCTAAGCGGAGACAATGAATAC